TCTATTAAGAAGTAGGACCATATATTTCTGCTAGTATGTATTATGTTTAACCCATGTGCTATTTGTTGTGTTGGCTGAAGTTTTTTTAGTGTTTTGGTAGTCAAATTTCCTTCCTTGTGGTATTTCAGCTTTGGATGAACAGACTGCCATGGCCACAGCTGGCTTTATCAGGACTGAAGTGCAAGAATATGCTGGGCAGTATTTCCTTCAGAATCTTCTGGGAAACACAGTAAATTCACTTATGGCTGTGCATTTTCCTTCTTCAGGGCTACAAATGCCATATATTAATGTCTACTGGTAAGTTTCTATTTAAATTTTGGGTAGAGCAGAAATTTCATGTCTTCAAAATCACTGTGGACACCTGGTGCTTCTTTTCCTTCCAAAAGGGTTTGTTATTGTCACTCAGTAAACTTCATTATGTGAGATTTTTAAATAAGACTGATGAGGATGTTTTCTTGGTCTTCACAATTTTATTTGCAGTTAGTAACTTTTCAGTAGGAAACTCCTTTCGTTTAAGGCTCTTTCTCACTTTTCTCATCCAGCCTCCTTAAAAGACAAAGCTCTGCCTCCCTTCTGCCCTCAAATATTTAAGTACAGCTTCCACAAAGCCCAGACATTGTCAATACCATAAGGATCAGTTTTATGTTGTCATTAATGATGACACTTCAAGCAGTGAAAGCCAAAACATAAAAATATCCAAAGCAGCCCCTTTGGCTTCCTTCATAAAAAATAAAAAATCATGAGCTAAAAAAGTAGCAACATAACTGTGCTACAGCTGGAAAAGCAACAACACAGAGATTCAAGAAAGCCAAAGCTGTTCTTCCAAGAGTTACAGGTGCTGCATGAAAGAAGTTCCATGACCCCCCCCATCTCATTTAATTCTGTTTTGAATGTTACCTCAGAGGACTGTCAGCACCACTGCAGTCTGAACTACTGACTCATTTTACAGAGGAAATAGCTTCAAAACTAAACAAAACCTGATGCAAGACCTTGATGAGACAGGGAGCCCTAAGAAAGGGGGAACCTTGAGAAGATTCTTTTTCATGTAGCAGAAGAAAGGCCTCACCTGGCTTTGTGCACTAATGTGGAGGATAGAGTGATCACATTGGTGTGGTTATAGACAGAGGAGTGTGTATTATACACAAAGGTGTGAGGGGCTGTAAATGCAAAATATGCACCTTTCTTCCTGGAAAAACAACCTTAACAGGTAAGCCAGTCAGATAAATTTAACTTCTGGACAACCTGCCACAGGTCCAACATTTGAATGTTCATCCCACTGTTCTGAACAGCTCTGTTGCATCCATCAGATCATGAGCTCAGTGCTGGAATCACTGAGGAAAATTCCATTGTCAGTGCAATTCAGGAGATTGGATTACACAGCAATATTGGTCCCTCTTGCTTTAAACTTACGAATAACTAAGAGCATTATTTTGCTTTCTTGTCTCTTTTAATTTCCTATTACAAGATGCATTATGAAGCTTCTCTTTGAGAGGTTTATGAAATTCTTTCAAAAGCCATTTTTCCTTTCATCTACATCCCTTCCTCAATGTTAAAATGCCATTTCAAAAAATTAAAAAGTCGTCTGACATATGGGTCTCACAAAAACATATTTTGGAATTCAAAATCTGAAAATTTAACTGTGCAGTACTCAGTCCAAGATGAATAAAAAAATCCCTAAACTTCATTTTTTTCATAATGACATCTTTTTTGGAACTTTTAGTTGTAGAACCCTGTTAAAAAAATCTCCTGAGTTTTAACATTTTTAACCGTAAGATTTCATTTTTCACTTAAAGGTGAAGAGAAATGAGCCAGTTACTTTATAAGGAAAAATTCTAAGTACTGAAAAAAGGCAGAAATTTGCAGAAGGACAATTTTAATGTAATTTCAATCAGTTTTCTTGGGAGCTTTTTATTTAAGAAGACAAGCCATGGGTAGCAGATAAAAAACAAAATAGCTTTTTTCCATGTAGACCTCAAAATCACTAGTGATTATGAGCTAGTTAAAACGCAATCCTTCTGCCCTTCACAAATATAGAAATGTGCACAAAGATGGAAGAACCTCACCTAAGCTTCCAGCTAAGTTCATCCATACCTCAGGGGCCAGATTATAGGAGGAAAGAAGAACAAATGCAGATAGAAGCTAATGCAGTCTTCATAAAATAAGCAGCCAGATGTTCTAAAGAGCACTACAGAGAGGAGAGCACTGCCACAGGTCTTTGGAGAGTGACTTCTTCCCTAAATGGAGTATAATGCTGTCCACTAATGGAAAAGTATGTGCTAATGCCTGAAAATCCCCCAAAGGGTGCAAAGCAAGAGGTCTGGGTGTCTCACAGTTTGGCATTGGCAAATGAGCAGAATTTAGACCAACTGTGTCCTTTGGTTTCAGCAAATCCTTAGCATTGCTCAGGGGATACTTGCACTGTCTTTATACAGTGTTTCTTTGCAAAACACACTATTGCATTATAAGCCTTGAAGTTAACAAGTGCTTCATAGACTTCACAGACAGTGATTTTAGGTACAATGTAAAAAATATTTAGCAAAATTCTTCGGCCCATGTCTCGAGGCAGCTCAGGTGTAAGATCATTTTACCATGGCAGAGAACCCCCAACAGCCTTTCAATGTTTCCTTTTTACCTCCCTAACTGGGAGCTGAAAAGATTAGATAAGATATTCAATAGATAATTGCCATCTAGTTCAAAGAAGGAACTACTTGTCCCACACAATTCTCCAAAATTCAGAGGCTGTGCATGCCAGCCAGAATCTGGAGCATGTGACATAGAGGTGCAAAGGTTTCCCAGGTGCCCAATAAATTAATGAAAACGTTCCCACTGATTTTGATAATGGAGGTCTAAGCCTTCTGTGGAAAGCTCAGGGAACACTTTTTCCAAATTCAAGACAGTACCTTCACAAGATTTCATTAACAGCTTTTGTAAGTCAGGTAGCAAATACCAAAGCTAGAGAAGTATGACAAGGGCTGTATAACCATCTTTCCCATTCAGGAAAACGTGGAATAGCATTTGGGAATTTATTGTAAAGAATTATGTTTCCAATGTAGTACAAGTTACACGTGGAGCTGTAATTTGGACTAGTTCCAGCTTGCCAGTTTTCATTAGTAATTCTTCTTTATCAGCAGAGTATTACTATTCAAAATAGTCCTTACTTCTTTGTATGATTACAGAGAACTTACTAGGAAAATAAGGACACACAAAGAACGTCTATTTTTGTAAATGTAAATGCATATATTTAACATAGGCTACTCTCTGGAGATTCTTGGTGAGGGCATCTGTAACAGGAAGCATAGAAAAAATTCTCCTGTAATATTAAACATGCAGTTTTCATCACCACGGGGGCTTTATTCCAGTCTCCAACAAAATGGAATATGCCTTTAGTTTCGGATGAGTATTCAATAAAATGTCTAAATCCTTTCACTGCTGTTTTGCCACTGTCTGCAGGGTTGAGTCAACACCATCAGGCATCCTGTGACCTTCCAAGACATGAGTTTTCTTTCAGAGCAGTTTGCCTTCAGGAGGCACCCCTCTCCCAGTGAAAAGTCTGGGAAGAAAACACTGACAGCAAACTTCTTTCTTCCCCTAGGGAACCCAAAATAAAACTGGTGTGCATCACAAAGATTCCCTTGGAGCAGTCCAGCATCTGGATCACAAAAGTGTGTCTTGAGGAAAGTTTGACTTTCAAAGCTACATAACAGTTAACAGCAAATTTATTGGTTCATGATTTAATTCATTAAGCTGGGCTACTAATTATTTCTCCATCTGGCTTCGCACTGGTATTATTTATGTAACAGCCATCTCTCTTCACCACTCATATATAAATAAAAGCCATAAACCTTATGGCTTTATTATTTATTCCAGATTAATTATTCCAGTAAGATTTTGCATTTTTTAAATTACTGATCTTGATTAATAAAATGGAGAAATTATAATAAAATACAAACTGCTGATGATCCTTTGAATTTTTTTTATTTTATACAAATTAGTGTTAGAATATGCACTGAGAGAGTTACACATTTAAATTGAGAAGAGGTGGAAAAATCATCCTAAGTTGAGACTCATGTTTATGCCCAAAGAGCACTGCAGATGGCAGGTCTCTGAGGTCCCATAATCATCTTCAGAGTGCATTCAAAACAAAATGAACACAAAAAGCCCAAATAAACCACGTATTGACAATCTGAATTTATCTGTCACTTTTTTATTCCACTTGCTGAACAGACGGCTTTACCAGCAGCTTCAACTTACGAGAAAAATGCCATTTTTCCATAAACTTCTTTCTCCTCACATGAAGATGTAGGAAGGAAATCTAATAAAAACCCAAAACACCCCACAAAAAAACCCCAAACCAAACAAACTCCCCAATCCCAAAAACCTAACAAAACCCCCTATATCTACTATTCTTCCTTCTTCCATTAAATTACAGCTTGCTGTATCACTAGCTATATATTTCTCTTTCTATGCAGAAAGAAAATTAAAACAATAAAGTAACAGCGAGATTTGGGGTTTTGGGTGTAACATGTCTGTCTGCTTTTCCCTTTACACAACTCCATGGTCCTCTGGGTGTGAATCTCATCTTCAGTCTGAAACATTGTCAGCTTGGGAAACCCAGAGATCCTTCCTGCCAGCAAAGTATTGCTCTCAACCACAGCTAGGGAGAGATTCTTGGACCCAAGGCTTTCAGCTTTCCCTCAGATTTGCTTTTCCTGCTGCTCCTGTTATCACCAGCCTGCAGCTGCTCTGCCAGCCAGAAAATACTACAACAACATCTCAGCACATGAGAACGTGTTTGCTCCCAGCCAGGGCACTCTTGGCACCTGCACTCTCACCACATGCTTGCTGCAGCAGAACACTAAATGCAAATTGCATAAATTCCAAAATCTGTAAAATCCCAAGCATAGTCCAGACAACTATGGAAACTGCAGTCACAACAATAAAGAAGGTAAAGAGAGGAAATCTTCAGTATTCCAGTTATCTCTACATTACAGTTTTCTTACCTTTGTAGTCCACTGGCTTTGCATTCTTTAGAAGTTCCATGCACCTGGTTTCCTCCTTGTGAATCTCCAGCTGAAATCTGCATTCTGGATGGACACCATTCACCTGTGCCAAATTAACAAATGGGTTATGTCTTGAAACTAGAATTAAAATGCTTCAATGGAGAGTGCAACTACCAATAACAAAAGCCACAAGTTTAACTGGCACAGGTTTCACCCAAGCACATGCTAGGCATTTTTCACACTTGATGCCAATTTTAGCTTCTCACACATTGACTTTTCAGAGCAAAATGTTGAAATAATCTACTGGCTTCTTCCTGTAGCATTCATTTAGCTTTCTAGTACATTCCTCAATATTACTCCATCAGATCTTTTTCTCCTTAACACTCTGAGCTGGAACTGAAACAGGAGAGTAGATACATTTGCTTTTTTCCCTTTTTCAGTAAGTTACGGAGCTGCAAGTTTAATACAAATCACAGAACATGAAAATTGATCAAACTTCATCCTCTTAGACATGGTAAATTCTGATTTTCTTCCCTTTTCCACCACGTATATTTTATCTCCTGAAGGTCCCAGAGCTTGATTATTTGATTCAAGCAAATGTTAAACAAGAAGAAAACCCCACTACTTAAAAATTAAAGCACTAATGCCTTTACTGGTTCAAAGCCCTACCCTCAGTTCTTTGGTTTTCAGAAAAGTTCATGCATGTCCATTGGAAGAGACAGGAATGCAGCAGTACTGGGGAAAGAAACAGACCTTGGAAAATTGTACTGGGGTCAGCTGAATTCAGAGAGGCAGTCAGAGCCTCACAGAGAAACACAAACTCTTACAGAGTCTGTGAGAGACTGCATGGGAGAAATTACTGCAGGAGGTGGCAAATGGAAAAGCTGGAAACATCAGTGGAGCTGATGGGACAGTGATTAGCTCAAATGAAATCACATCTTAAATAAATAAAATGGGAATATGTAGTACTTCAGTCATTCTCACACCTCACACTTGTAATACCAAGAAAAATGTGGTGTCTCTCCAAGTTTCTGTCTTTCACATCTTTTAGGGGACATTTAATAACAGAATCTGGTAATGATCTCTGATACATGATACAGCACTTACAATAAATTATAATAATTAATTAAGTGGTGATTCTGGGCCCAGAACTCCAGATCCAGAGTTAGGACTGAGAACCTGGTGATGCTGCAGTCTCTTTGTGGAAAAACCACTTACACAGCTTTTAAAAATACAGTGCAAGAGCCAGAAGCATAACAGCTTATGACACGATTATGAAAACTCACAAAAATCTGTCCCTTCTTCAAATGTTTCATTTCACCATCTACAACATTAGAACCTGACTTTCTTTTTCATGTCTTTTCTTTAGGTTGAGCATTGAAACGATACGTTTCAAGTGCAGAATTCTTTTCCTTTCAAAGACACATATTTAACATAAACTAGGATTTCTAGAACTTATAACTTAAAGTTCAGCATTATACTGAAAATACCTACATTTTGGTATTTATAATCCATTTTGCAGATAGCTGCCATATAAAAGAAAAGTCCCATGTATACATAATGTTTTTAATAGCACTTTCCTTTCACAGAACATATTTTTGGATATTTTTCATTTCCAAGTACAAATATTCAGTAACTGACAGTGGATTTCCTATTCAGCAAGAAGTATAAGTATTACAATTACTAGGTCTTGGAAAGGAAGGTTCAATAAATAAAAATGTTAACTAAATGAAGGATAAGTCAAACTAGCTACTGCAATTAAGAAGCCTGCTGAATAAACAACTTCTCTTTCTGGTACCTCAGAAATATCAGTGATTAATAGTAAAGGTTAATTTGAAAACATACATTTGTTACTACCCAAAGGTAGCATATTACTTTTCACAGCTGGGCTACAGGCTAAACTGTACTATACTTGGTTCTAATGCATCCAGTTCATTGAGATGGACTTCACAAAGCTGAAGAGATTTAGGGTTCCAGACTACAGGGCTCTGACCACCCTCCAAAGCACATCAGGATTTTGAGGGCACTCACCACTTTTTAGGACTTGTGCTCATCCATCTTTCCCTCTGCCTAACCAACAGTAGGTTATCCTTTGTCACAAATGAATACAGAACCACATGTAAAGGTGGATTTCCAGCTCAGGAGTCTCTCTGCGTTTTAACCAGCTTAACAATTTCTAAAGCATCTAGACCAGCAGTTTGACAGATAAACATTTCCTCTGACAAGGAGCTTACACTCACCTTCAGTATGGTTTCCCGACTTTTGTGTTATACAGTAACAAAAAATTTAAAAGGCTTTTAAATTATTTTTTTTGTATGTGTATCATATTTCCATCAATGGAACTTACTTTTACAAACTATTCAAGAAACGCTTGAAAATATAAAGATGATAAATGCAGGCGCCCTAAAATAGACTTCAATATTCTGAGTACTTTGTGCATCGCAATCTGTAAATATTACAGAGCAATTGTGGGTGTGGGGCTTTTCCCCCGACTATGACGGCCCCTGGACTTCTCCCGGGCAGCGCTCCTTAAAAACTCTTCGCAAACCAGCGGTGTCCACCGGCTCCGGGGAAAAACTGCGGGGATCAAGTGGCGGCTCCGCGCGGATGGGAGCGTGCCCGACGGAGCAGGGATGCGGAGCCGTCCCGAGGATGTGGAACCATCCCGGGGATGCGGAGCCGTCCCGAGGATGTGGAACCATCCCGGGGATGCGGAACCTTCCCGGGGATGCGGGGCCGTCCCGAGGATGTGGAACCATCCCGGGGATGCGGAACCTTCCCGGGGATGCGGAACCGTCCCAGGAACGCAGAGCCATCACAGGGATGCGGAACCGTGACGGGGATGCGACGGGAGGGCAGGGGGAGCCCGGGGGTGTCGGCGGGGGCTGCGTGCCCGCTGCTCTGGCGTTCCCCGCCCGGGCACAGCCGGAGGGCAGCGCTGGGGGAGGCTCCGCTGTCCCGGAGCCTCCGCACCTGCCGCTCCCGCCGCTCCTGCCGCCGAGCGCCCGCGCCGGGAGCTGCGGGAACAGCCCGGAGGGCTCCGCACGGGCTCTCAGGGAAGATCCGTGGGGTCACCGCGCTCTGGAGCGGAGCGACTGCTGCCTCGGTCGGGCTGCTCCGGACACTTACCGGGCCCAGGCTCCAGCAGAGCGAGAGCAGGAGGATCGGCAGGCTCCTCATGCCCGCCCAGTGCCGGCCCCGCCGCGCTGCGCTGCCCCGCGGCGCTCCGCGGGCCCCGTTCGAAGGCGGGCAGCGGGCTCCCGGTCCCACCCGGCACCATAGGGCCCGGGGCCGCTGCCGGCTCCCCCGGGGCCGCTGCCGGCTCCCTCAGCCCCGCTGGCGGCTCCCGCACCTGTCCCGCTCCGCCGCCTCCGCTCCGGCCCGAGCGCGGCCGTGCCCGCCGCCGCTCTGCGCGGAGCTCCTCCTCTAGCCCCCGGCTCCTGCCCGCCCGCCCGTGTCTCCCCAGCCCCTCTCTTCCCCTTCCTTTTCTCCTCCTCCCTCTGCTGCCGCCGGCGCTCCCCCCACAAGAGGTGCGAGCCGTGCCCCGAGCCGGGACGCCCCCCGCCCATCGCAGCTCCCCGCAGGTGCCGCCGCCACCCCCGGGCTGCTGCCGGGCACTGGGTGCCCCTCAGCCCTCGCTGCCCGCTCCCAGGAGCGGCAGAACAGCCTCTCCCCATGATCCACGCCCAGGGAGCCTGGGTGCCCGTGCCGGCAGCGCATCCTGCCCGCACTGGGTGCCTTTTGCCGGTGAAACCCGTAAGATCATCGAGCACAGTCCCCTCAAGCCAGACAGGCGCCGAAAACATTGAGGGGTGAGCGAAGTGATCCCTGGCAGGGTCAGTCTTGCCACTGTGCCGAGCAACAGCTGTATTATTAAATCTTTCTTCCCCACAACTGGTTTTTTTCGAGGTCTCAATAGAGAACCAAGAGTTTAAGGCAACTCCATGGCAGTTTACACCAGGCATGGAGCTGGGTTTTGCCTCCCAAAGCATAGAGAGTAGGCAGTTAAGTGACATGCTAACACATGCCTTGTGTTATAGAAAAGGAAGTCTTTATATATTGGCTTTTAGCTGATATTGGGAATATATTAGAGTTGCCTTTCCACTGACTTAATATGTGTTTTAAGTATTATGTATTAAAAGGAACTGAGAAGGCAACATAAAATTGTCCTAAATAGCCCCCCAAAATAACCAGCTACAAGCAAATTAAGGACGCTTCTGTGAGAAAAGCGAAAGAGAATTTTAATTTTTTAAGGCATATACAAAAATTATTTTCATATGTTAAGAAGAAATACCTGACTATAACATCTTTGATATCATAAAAAATAAATACTCCAAACTAATAAACAGTATTATAACCTGCATACTGAGAGCAGAGGGAAAAACTAATGTAGAAAGAAAAACCTGTAGGATGGTATATTGTCAGGTAATGAAGGTATTCTCATTGTAGCAGAAAAGAGTACCTCTTTGAATTGACTTTGATCTGTATGGGACAGGTGGACTGAAAGGCACCTACTCCTGACACAGCTGGTTTGCAGAGGAGACTGGTTATGCCATTAGCTCTGAGATTCCCAGGCAAGCTCTCAGGTCAAAACTCCTGGAATGGAGAATTGCACAGTGCAACCCCTCTGATTCCTGGGACTGGGGTCCGAGATTCCTCTTCAGGCTCTTGGTTGGCACAGACAGTCTGGATGTGCTCCTCACAATTTCTTAAGAGCTATCAGTGTTTCAGTTAACAATCTCAAAAACATTTCTTTTATCATCCACGAGACTCTGATGTTTTATCATTACTGCAAGGCTTTGGAGAATCCTTCCTGTCTTCTCTCTTTAGAAGTTCTTTCTTGCCCTTTGTGATGACTGGCATCCCGCTAAGAGAGCAGTCGTTCTCACGAGTGGAATTAATACATGCCGAGGCTCATCAGGTTCGTCAGCAGCAAACCCCAGGGCAGTCGCTGTGCAGAGGAGTCTGGTGACTCTGGCAGGCTGTCCCCCAGCTGGGCAGCCCCAGAGCTGAGGACGCCAGAGTTGCCAGACACCAAACCCCAGTGTTTAATTCTTCGAGCAAATGATTCATTAGGCTGTTGAAGCTGAGTAGCCTGGGAAACCAATTAACAAATTACTGTTAACGTTCTGTGTAGAAACAGTCTTGGGAACTGTCATCATTATTCCTTCTGTGGAATGGCAGAAACTAATATCTCAAAAATTAGTAGTCCATGTATTCTACAACTAGCAAAGAAGTTTTGAAACCCGCATCTGTTCTATCAGAAGACTGTACACTGTGATGTTTTGTTTTCAGTGAATCAGCATTTTTAGGTGAAAAGAAATATCAATTATTTCTCAGCCCTTTCCTCTGTTGCTGTTCCTAGTGACTCTTTGACGTGAAAGAGACAGCAGATGAAGGAGATGCATCAAGTACTAATATTTTTGTTTATATATAGCTTTTTTTCCTAAGAAAAAACCAAATTCTTGATGGATGAAGTCAAGAAATCATGGTTCAATTTTTTTTCATTTAAGCATATCACAGTTCAGTGCTCTCTTACAGCAGATGTAGAACAGAAATTAAGAGCAAGAATGAAATTAGAACAGCTGTTGATATATACAGGTATATACAAATGAGATTGATACTCTTAATCAGCAAAGAACAGATAAGTTTATGAAAGAACAAAGAAGTCATATAAATTTATACAGAGTTGATTTGAGGACATTTCAAAGAAGGGACTGTCAAATTTTACAAAAAAGTTATGGAGTTATCCATGAGGCACAGGACTGCAAACACAGAGAGAATGGAGTCAAAGACATTCATCACAATGAGGTGGTAGAGAAGAAAATGCATTTTGACTGAAATAAATATTATTTTGGATCAGCCGAGCCTGGGTGTTCCTCAGAGGGCAGTAAAAGTGGAAATAGAAAGTTCGGTGACAGGCAATGGACACAGTGGCAGACAGTGCCAAGGTACAGCAAGTTCTCAGCTCTCACAACACATTCAGGACCCAAAAGCTTTTCTTCAGTTCCAGTTATTGGAAGAGTCTGCCTGTCAATGAAAGGTACATGCCAGTAGAGCTATAAGTAACAAATACTTGCTGCCTGGCCATCTGTCTGTTCAGAATCCTCTAATACAGTGTTGGCAGCAAATGGCTGATTTAGACTTTCCATACTGAAGTAATGACACCAATCCCCTTTGATTGAGCTCAATTCTCACTTAAATTGTTGATGGAAGTCAGGATGCTTTGAAAATTTGTATTTTACCCGCAAATCTTGTTCATGTTCTGTGTATAAATACTCCAAATCCATTGCTTTCATTGTTTAAAAGGAGTTTTCTTTTGTTCAATCATCTAACTATTATTGCTCACATAATGCATGACATGCCAGAAATACCTAAACTGCATGAAAAGTTTTGAAGGGTTTCCTTCAAAGCATGTGCACAAGCCATGCTGAACAATGTGCCTCTTGCAGGCGTGGCTGTCTCTTGAGCTGCTCAAGCTGTTTCATGTGTTTTGAGCCCTGCTTTCCAGGCCAGAGAGTTTATGTGGAATGCTGTACTAACTCTCATTGCCAAAGGAGTGCTCTTCCTAGGTCTTCACACAAACACTAGGTCTTCATCAGATATTCCTAAATCTCCCAAAGGCACTCTTTACTGTCATCCTGCATTTTGTTAGGTTGTTTGTTTCGTTGGTTTTTTTTTCCTGCAGCCCAACTATTTAAGGAAAAATTCCATCAGCCTTGGAAATAGATTTTAGAAAGGGTTTCCAGGAAAAAAGAGATTGTGAGTAATGTGTGTACAGTTTGGATCTTTTATACTGGAGAAAATTAAAGTTCTGTAAAATTTTAGTATCAGCTACTATTAACACACTTGATCTTACTAAGCTTCTCTGAGTGATCAGATAGAATACAACAAAGAAGGTTCCAGGCCTGAGACAGGCAAACAGTATGTGTCCTGCTCATGATAATGGGATTTCAGACGTTGGGCATGCTCCAGGGGTCATGTGGCTGCAGCACCATCCTTTGAGAGAGCAGAGTGATGCTACTGCCCAACCCTCCTGCATCAAATATTGTAGCTGCAGTAAGGGGAGGTGAAATTCAGGTTCTCTTAATAAACAGAAAATGAAATTCAGGTGCTCTGTGTTTTATCTGAAGATCCAGATGGTTCTAAACTCTTGTCACCATTACCAGTCATATTGTGTCCACATAATCTCTTGAACCCTGTATTATTTTCAAGGCAGAGAAGCAGCACCACGCAGATAGTTTTCTAAGGAAAGGCTGTCCTCAAGTGTGTCACCTCAGCTTTTTCATTCTCCTCCTTCTGAGCATCCCCAACAGTGCCCTGCTGTGTCTGGCACATGCAGAGTAGCTTTATGATGTAGCTGAGGGTGTTTCTTCTAGTGGTGAGGCTCAAACTCCACAAAACACTTTCTGGCAGTGGCCTTTGAAGTGGCAGCTTGCCAATATCAGCTCCACCAGCTCCACCCCAAGGCAGAGATCCCCAGCCAGTGACAGTGACATGAAGAACCCTCCAGAGGTGTCTTTCTGTAATGTGAAAGTAGCTTGGCTACACGAAGATGTTTCTGCAGATCACAAATACAAAGAAAATTCAGTGAAAACAAAGACACTTTTCTGTCTGGTTTAAGTTCAGGACTGATGAATAGCTTGTTTGAAGTGGTGTCTGTCACTGTGAAATCCTCAGTCAGAAGGGACAGGGACACTTTTCATTGAAGATACAGAATGTAGTCTACAGTACTTGGTGTAAAGTATGCAATTTTGTTCTTTCTCGTTTTCAAATTTAGAAGACTTCCATGTAATTTCAAAAGAGTGAGAGACATCCCTTTAGTATAATGAACTCTTTCAATTTCTTGGCCAGGGTATTCAATATTTCTGATTTCCATTATACTCAGATCCTTATTACACTCATTAAACTAATAGCATTCAGTTACAAAAGTAGAATTTGATCTTTTAAATTTATAGGTTAAATTTAAAATAACTAAGTTGGGTACTTGGCATAATGGAAAGTACTTGGCTAATGTCATTTTAATTCTGATTTGTTTCAAAGCTCCAGATTTGGTCAGTGCTTTTTTTTGAGAGTTTACTGGACACAAAGACATCAAATCATTTTTTTCTGATACAAAAAGAAGAAAATTCTCCCATTTAATTTTACGGGTTTTGTAGCGGTTAGTTAGGATGTTTGATTTGATTTTTAATTTTTTTATTATTATTTGAAGTAAGGGTAGATCTTCCCAAAAATCTCTAAAGACAAAACACAAA